GTTTACTGAAAACTTACACCAGTGTTATAATAGGGCTGGGCCCTATTACATACATTATCTTACATCATCTTTACAATGTATCCTGACTGTTTTCATTTTTTTGGAGAGGAAACTGAGGATTCACAGCAATTAGATAACTCATCCAAGGTCACACAGCTAGTAAGTGGTAAAGATTGGATTTCAGCCCAGGATGTTCTGACTTCACAGCCAGAGCCTCTTACCCAGCTATGCTGCTTCTCGATTTTCCATCTTCTTCCCTGAGCCTTAACGGAAGTACTAAGTGCATGATGTTGTCTTCTTGGCACATTTTATGTATCATCTCTCAGCTGACCTTTGAACTGTCCCTCCTTCACCTGGCACCCATAATCATCATACAGCCTTTGTTAGATCCTTTTCTCCTTTTTTTTTTTTCCTGTCACCATTGTGTTTACTCTGCGTGCTGGCAGCAGAAACTAAAAAGGAAATGCAGAAAAAGCATCTAACGGTTTTCATAACGTAAACCAAATGTTGGGAGTGTGGGTGAGCTCGTGGGAGGAAAGGCGCTATATAAATCTGACAAATAAATAAATAACTGTTTCTTTAAATAAACTGGCACCGAGAAAACCTTAAACTGTGACCTATTGAATTTGGGCTTGTTCGGAGTCAGAAGTCTGCCTTTGCTCACCCAGCGTGAGTTCCTTACATGTGTGCTCTGTTGGGCGAATGGTGGGAGTGGAGGGAAGGGAGGAAGAAGAGGTTTTAGGAACCAGGCTGTGCCCTCACTGAAAGTGATTGCCTGCCTTGGTACATTAGAGGCATCTTTGTCATAGCTGTATTATGTATGCAGCACATTCTTAGATACTTCAAAAAGACTAGAGAAGGGAGCGGGGTTCAAGTGAAGGTCACTGAGTAAAGTTCACAAGATGTATTTTGAGGACAAGGACTGAATTACTTTACTCATCTCTGCAAATAAAAGATGTTATCAGCAGCATGCTCTGAGAATCTTTCTTCCCAATACATTGGCTTTGTGACCTACCCCTGAGATACCACCTTGGCCACTCCCACTCTGTCAAAACAAACAGTACAGAACAATCCCAATTATAGAATCTGTTCTGCAGATGACAGGTTTTGAAGCTTTGCACATCCTCAAAGTTATGCCATGGGGAGGGGATGAGGTTGCTGGCTAGCGCTCATGTGGAAGTACCTTTTCCTGAGGAGGCCATACCAGGCTGACTCTAGAGTTTCATTTTGGAAGGTGAGAAGACCAGCACTAAGCGGAAGTAAGGCCATCAGCCTGCCAGCTGCAGAGGCTCTGGTTACAGAACTGAGCAGCCCATGCCATCTTGGAGCTATCGAAGGAGCTTTGAAGGTGCTGGGATGGTGGCAGAGGGGAAAGGGGGAGAAAATGGAAGGTGTTACTACCTTTCCTTCCAAATAGTCCAAGATTTAGGCACTTTGCAAAAATAAGGCCTTAAGAATATCTTCAGCTAGGCGCAATGGCTCACGCCTATAATCCCAGCACTTTGGGAGGCTAAGGCAGGCAGATCACTTGAGGTCAGGAATTCGAAACCAGCCTGTCCAATGTGGTGAAACCCCGTCTCTACTTAAAATACAAAAAATAAATAAAATAAAAAATAGGCAGGTGTGATGACAAGCACCTGTAATCCCAGCTACTTGGGAGGCTGAGGCAGAATTGCTTGAACCTGAGAGGCAGATTGCAGTGAGTTGAGATCGTGCCACTGCACTCCAGCCTGGAAGACAGAGTGAGACTCCCATCTCCAAAAAAAAATTATCTTCATTGGCCGGGTACTGTGGCTTTCACCTGTAATCCCAGCAATTTTGAGAGGCTGAAACGACAGATCACTGAGTTCAGCAGTTCAAGACCAGCTTGGCCAACATGGCGAAACCCCCCTCTCTACTAAAAATACAGAAATTAGCCAGGCATGGTGGCTCAAACTCCCAAGTAATCCCAGCTACTTGGGAGGCGGCAGCACAGGAATCACTTGAATCGCTTGATCCCGGGAGGCAGAGGTTGCAGTGAGCTAAGATCTAGTCAGTGCACTCCACCCTGGGTGACAGAGTGAGACTCTGTCTTTAAAAAAACTTCTTTGTCTTTCTTTTCTGAAAGAATTCCCTTCAGGTTTGCGGCATGCTGCCAGTGCCTGTGTTCTAAATGTCAAGTGTAAACCTGAGTTGGGAATTTACACTTCTTCAAAGAACGTTGAAACGTTTCTTTAAGTAAGAGCAACCTGATGAAGTTCTGCTGTAGAGCACTCAGTGCCCCCGTGAAAGGCTATCAACCCACTGAACCTTGTTTAAGACATCGGCCAGGTGGATTCTGAGGCTTTTGATGTCTGGGTTAAAAGGATAAGTGTATGTAAATTGCCCAGTAATTTTCATATTATAAAATGATCTTACTGTGCTGCTTTAGGTAGAGTAATAAAGACAGAGCATGCTGTGCTGTGCTATACCCTGATCTAGACAGTGTTCTGTCTGCACACAGATCTCTTCAGTTTGAGATTTCAAATCTTGATGTTCTAGAAATCTGCTTGCCACCTGTTCCCACAGATTGATTCAAATCAAACTATTTTATTAAAGCTATTCAAGAATTCTGTTTATCAATAGAATTCATGCCAAAAGTAGAGAATAAGATCTTAATGTTACTGGATCATATTATTTTTCCTTGAACCTTTCTACCTGAGGGTATGTATTCACGAATGCTTTTCTTTATACACATAGATCAGTGCTTAGTGCATAATTCATGATTTGAGAGTCGCACATCTCCAACTTCTGAACAGCCACCATCCTGAACTCTATCCCAGTCTGTCAGTTACAGCTGTGGCAGAAACCATGCTTTACAGACATGATTGTAGTTTCACTCTTTAAGAAGCATTTGGAGGACAATACATCCTCCTGTCACAGAAAAGCAAACAAAGCCAAGAAACTTTGCCTTCGGTCATTTCCCTACTAAGGGGTGGCAGGCTTTCCCTTCTACGCTGCCCACCCAACAGGGAAAGGGCAGCTGGCACACATCTGGGTTTATCTGACAGCTGAAGATGGTTAAGGAAACTCAACTAATAACAGATTTTTATTGTTCTATCTCACTATAAAAACAGTGCATATTTATTATCAAACTATAGATGAGCAAGAAAAAGAAAATCACCTAAAATTATAACTGCCCCAGAGATTGGCAATGTTAATATTTAAGTGTAAATCTTTCTGTGGTTTTATATGACACCGTAATACCATTATTTTTGCCAACCTTTGATACTGTATGTACAGTTTAGCAATCTTCCTTAATATGTCAAAAATACCTTTCCAGGCCCTTATATATTCACATTATATAATTTCTTTTTTTTTTTTTTTTTTTTTTTTGAGACATAGTGTCGCTCTTGTTACCCAGGCTGGAGTGCAATGGCACAATCTCGGCTCACCGCAACCTCCGCCTCCTGGGTTCAGGCAATTCTCCTGCCTCAGCCTCCTGAGTAGCTGGGATTACAGGCACGCGCCACCATGCCCAGCTAATTTTTTGTATTTTTTTGGTAGAGACGGGGTTTCACCATGTTGACCAGGATGGTCTCGATCTCTCGACCTCGTGATCCACCCGCCTCGGCCTCCCAAAGTGCTGGGATTACAGGCTTGAGCCACCGCGCCCGGCCACATTATATAATTTCTAATGGTTGCTTTCAACTGAATGACTCTATCACTATATATATAGCCAGTTTCCTTGTTAGATAACTGTGTTGGTGACCATCTTGGTAGCTATGCCTGATCATCTGAGACTGAAGTGCTGTTTAGGTACCTGGCATAGAATTATCAACTGCCTGCTCATCTTCCAAGTTAAAAGGAAAAAATACCTCTCTTTTGACATTGTTACTTTTTAAATTACTAATTAGTTAAACTTTTGTTTATGACCATTGCTATTATTTAGGGGTATTCCTGTTTATGTCCTTTGCCCTTTCTTTTCCTCTTGATATGTTCATCTTTTATTAATTTCTAAAAGCTCTTTATGTCAACAGTGAGATTGCTGTATCTGTTAGAGATTTTTCCTCAGTTTTACTTTTGGTTTTGTTTCTGGTTGTTCTGACTACTACAGATTCTTTACCCCTAATTTGATATATTTCTTTTGGTTTTGTTTCTGGTGTCTTTAACTTACAGAAATTTATACAGTGAGGTATATCCAGGTTTATCTTGATAATGTCTGCTATTGGTATGATAGTTAAGTTTTCCCTCACTCCAAAATTATGTAAGTTTTCATATATATTTACTTTCATATTATGGTTTCACTTTTTTTTTTAAAGGCTTAAAATGTATTTTAATAAGTCGATGCTGCATTACTGCTCCATTTCTCAGAAAAACTCCAAATTTTTCAGACAGATCAAACACGGTACACTGATGAAAAAAATGCACAGCGTGACTACCTAAGATAGGCAAATCTAAGAGCTACTGTCAGACTTTCAGTATACAGCAACCCTGTTCCCAAGATTATACTAGGCCTATCAAGAAAAGCTGTGAACAGTAACATCACAGACACAAAAGGGTCATTCCTGGGTATCCTCACCCAAGAAAAAGATGGAGGCAAGTTAACACAAGATTTTTTTTTTTTAAGATATACTAAAATGAAAATCTCTAAGAGAAAATGTCTTCTTTAGGACATGAAGGGGTAATATATGGGATATAACACAACCGTATGTCCGTTGCCTGTGACCTTTGTGGACTGCCTGAATTCTCCCCTGGGAGTGAATGGAGCAATGGGGCTAAGGTCATTGGGGGATGTTTGGTTTTTGTGGTGTATGTGGCAATTTCTCTGGGGCTGGGGAGTGTTAAGGATAAGAAAGCAAATAAGGCTGGGCACATGTCTCCAGGTGGGTGGGAGCAAGCAAATGAAACAAGATGGACAAGAAAAAAAAAACCCGGAATGATCAAGATTAATGAACTCTAACTGTATCCACTTTGCCATGATTTCCCCAGGCGCTCAACAATCACATCTGAGATTTCAGGAATGCACCACACAGAACTGATTAAACATTATACCACACATGGTTTGTTTATACCACCCCTCCCTTGCCCTCTGCCCCAGCATACTCCCTATAGTACAGGTAGGGTAGATCTAACTATTGGAAGGAATCCCTAACACTTTTCCAGGGTAGAATTCTGGCTAGTCCAAAAAGGGTCCCTTCTTTTAAGGGTTTTGAGAAACTAGACACTGCAACTTTATTAGTATCGGCGGCGTTTGTTTGGAGCGAATTCAGCTCCAGGAGCTGCACGGTTGAATGCAGGAGGAGTTCCACCAATTGCCCCAATTCCTTCCATTGTAGCAGCCTGACCAAAGCGTTCAGTTGTTGGTGGGGTCAATCCCAAAGTTCCATCCGGCATCATAGTGGCAGGTCCTGGAGGAGCTGGGGTACCAGCTGGCACAGGAGCAGGGGGCATGGCCCCTCTGTTGTTTATGCCCATAGCACCTCCCATAGCCATCTGACCCATCCGAATCTCCTGCTCTCTCACATCAGGGAAGGTTCCCTTGAATCCTTCCTGCTGTCGCCGCATCATTTCTTCTTGCTGTCGCCGCATCATTTCTTCTTGCTGTCGCCGCATCTCTTCCTCACGGCGCCTGCGCTCTTCCTCCTGTCTGAGCTCCAGCTGCTTTCGTTTTTGCACCTCTTGGTTATGCAGCTCTTCCATCCTCCGAAGTTCTTCTTGGCGCCTCATCAAATCTTGTCTCATTAGCATGACCTGGTGCTCATGGCGTGCAGCCTCCATCTCCATCTCTAGCTTCTCACGAGCCTCCTTGATGTTGCGGTCCACTTGGTCCTGCTGCTGCTTCTCCATCTCAATGAGTGCCTTCCAGCGCATGGCATACTCATACTCGAAGGAGCCAGGCTGTGCAAATCTGGGTGGCTGCTCTCGTTCCTTGTGAAATTGCTGGTTCTTTATAACCAGCTTCTCTGGAAGTCCCTCTTCATCATCTAACTGGTCCATGGGCTCCACAGTCACAGGACGAGGAAATGTGGTTAGCAGAAAGGAGCCTTCACTGCATCTGTCCAGAGCTTTCCGAGCAGCTGGCTTCCCTGAGAACTCAACAATGCCTTTTTCCCGAGGGCCTTCCTCGATCATCCACAATCACTACAGCCCTCTCCACCTGGCCAAACACAAAAGGCTTCTTCCAGCAGTTCGTTGGACACATACTGAGGAAGGTTTCGAACTGTAAGGGATGCACTATGGCAGGCAAAGCGCACACGCAGCTGCTTTCCACGGAGTGGCATATTGTCCAGCTCCACTTTGGCAATCTCCGCTAGGGTTCGTGTTTCCAAGCAGATAAAGCCAAATCCTTTATCCTTATGAATGAAGACTTCGCCCGCCTTTCCATATTTCTCAAACAGTTTCCTCATTTCTTCCTCGGTGATGTCGGGAGGAAGATTTCCCACAAAGAGACGGCTTTGTTGGGTGAAGGTCTTCTCTCCTGGTTTCCTAAAATTCTTCAGGTCAATAGTCAAGCCTTCATTTTGGCTGCTGGCCTGTTGCCCATTTGCAGGTATTGGTGGTGGTGGTGGCTGCTGCTGTTGCTGCTGGTGGTGTTGTTGCTGGTGGTGATGTTGATGATGCTTTCTTGGAGTATGGTTTTGCTTCTCCAAGTTAAAAGTTTTATTACTCTGCATTTTTGCACCCTCAACTTCGATTGAAGACAGCAAAGTGCCTCCCAGTTCTCTCTAACCTCGACTTCTCCTCTACCGACTGATCTCTCCTCGGAGTCACTTTTTTTTTTTTTAAGACAGTCTTGCTCTGTCGCCCAGGCAGGAGTACAGTGGCGCAATCTCGGCTCACTGCAACCTCCACCTCCCAGGTTCAACTGATTCTCAAGCTGCAGCCTCCTAAATAGCTGGGATTATGGGCACACATCACCACACCCAGCTAATTTCTGTTTGTGTGTGTGTGTGTGTGTGTGTGTGTGTGTGTGTGTGTGTGTGTGTGTGTTTGAGACGAAACCTTGCTCTGTTACCAGGCTGGAGTGCAGTGGCACAATCTTGGCTCACTGCAACTTCCACCTCCCAGGTTGAAGCGATTCTCCTGCCTTAGCCTATCAAGTAGCTAGGACTACAGGCCTGCTCCACCATGCCCAGCTAATTTTTTTTATTTTTAGTAGAGACACGTTTCACCATATTGGCCAGGATGGTCTCGATCTCTTGACCTCCTGATCCGCCCGCCTCAGCCTCCCAAAGTGCTGGGACTACAGGCGTGAGCCACTGCATCTGGGCAATTTTTTTGTATTTTTAGTAGAGATAGAGTTTTGTCATGTTGGCCAAGCTGACCTCAAGCGATCTGCCCACCTCGGCCTCCCAAAGTGCTGGGATTGTAGGCATGAGCCACCATGCCTGGCTGGTTTCACTTTTTATATTGGAACCTTTAATCCTTATAAATTTATTTTGATATCTATATAAAATGGGGTCTAACTTTTTTCCCCCAACTAATTTGAAATGCTAACCTTAGCAAGTAATAAATTTTGGAATATATTTGACAGTTTTTGGCTTTCCATTCAATTCCTTTGATCTGCCCATCTTTGAATTCCTTGTATTACTGTTTTAATTATTGTAGTTTTATGACATGTCAATAGCTAGTGGGTCCTTATGTCTTTTCAAAATAAAGTTTAGAATTATTTTGTCAAGTTAGTTGGTAAGGCATTTGCTTTTATAGAATAATTTTCAGTGAATCAATCAATAGCTTCAAAGTCCTAAATATCTTCTCTTAGCGCTTTTTTCTTTCTTTTCCTCAGAAAACAATTTCAAGATTTTATTCATATATGGCCTATAGGTTTCCTGATTATTCCTAGGAATGTTATTTTTTTTATTGCTACTATGAATGGGATTCTCTCTTCTTTTTGAAGGGCCGGAGAGCACCCACGGGTCTCGAACCACACGGAGTGGTTGTTTTCCACCATAGAAAGCATTGTCAAAGTAACCACCGAGCTAAAGCTGGCCCCAGGATTCTCTCTTTAAAAAAAAAAAAACAAAAAAACACTACATTTTCTAAATGGTTACTTTGTATTCAGTCTTTAAAAGTTCCTTTTATCTTAGGTGAGAGAATGGATGAACTAGTGAATAAACATTTATGTATATGTTAGTGCTATTTGCAAATAATTGATCTTATATATTCAGATACATAATCTGTACAAATTGTACATAAAGTAAACACACATGGGAGATTAGAGCCTACCACATCATTGCTTTTTTTTTTTGCCACTTCCTGACTCAAGAGCTTTGAAATACACAGTGTAATTTTGGGAAGAGGGTAAAATGTCCAGAAATAAGCATTATTAAATACTTTGCAAATAATTTCATTAATTGGAACATCTAGTCCCCCATGCTCGGTCTACTAGGTATTCATCAAGTCTTAGTTCAACATGAAAACCTCTTTGTTCTTACAGATTTCAGAGACAACTGTCTGAACCCTGCCACCCCTTCCCTCCTCAGCCAGGAGTTCCTGGAGATAATCGCCCCAGTTACCATCGGCAAATGTCAGAACCTATTGTCCCTGCAGCTCCCCCACCCCCTCAGGGATTCAAACAAGAATACCATGACCCGCTCTATGAACATGGGGTCCCGGGCATGCCAGGCCCCCCAGCACATGGGTTCCAGTCACCAATGGGAATCAAGCAGGAGCCTCGGGATTACTGCGTCGATTCAGGTCAGCAGAAAATCTTGCTTGTCATTGCTTCATTCTTGTATTCTTCTGTCTCATTATTCAGTGTTTTATACATGCAGGGCCTTGGGGAATCATTTTATAAGAATTGCCCTCAAATAACACAGGAGCTAGTAAAGCTGACATGTTTATGCACAATGGAATACAAAAGAGAAAAGCTGGATAGGCACAGTGGCTCACTCCTGTAATCCCAGCACTTTAGGAGGTTGAGGTGGGTGGGTCACGAGATCAGGAGTTTGAGACCAGCTTGACCAACATGGTGAAACCCGCCTCTGCTAAAAATACAAAAAAAATCAGCTGGATGTGGTGGCGCACCTGTAATTCCAGCTACTCAGGAGGCTGAGGCAGGAGAATTGCTTGAAACCAGGTGGTGGAGGCTGCAGTGAGCCAACATCCTATCATTGCACTCCAACCTGGGCAACAGAGCAATACTCTGTCTCAAAACAAACAAACAAACAGAAAAGCTATGTAAATGGTAGGAAGTGCAGTAGGCATTCAAAAGTGGTATGAAGTACATCTCTGAGTCCAAGCCTGAAGATTGTCGGGGTTCAGTTTTGGATGGAATTTGCTTTTGACGTTCTCTGAAATAATACAGAGATTGATCTATTCAGGCACAAACTGGTTATGGGAAATGCTGGGGAATTAGGCAGAAGGGAGAGACCTGTTGCTTTATGACAGAAAACTTACCAAGTATGAGGTAGTCACCGTGCGTAAACATTTCCATAAGCATTTCTCTTGAAAGCTTTGATGGATTTTTCTCAAGAGTAGCATGAACAGCAACATTTTTTCCTTTAAGACTGACATTTTGATCTGTCCTGATGGGTTTTGTACCCCACTCCACTCCCTTAAAGCAAGGCACTCAACAGATGTTACCATATCTGTAAGTCTTTGATCTGAGTTGTGTTCCCAGGGTGATAGCTCATCCCACGTGAACACAACTCAACTGACTGTCTTTCCTCTCAATGGACACTGATAACATGATGCCTGAAGAAGAGATCACTTGAGTGTGGTTCAGTTTCAGTGTGACAGTCCCAGCCTGGCAAAAATGTACCAAACTGCAGTCCTCTACCCCTGCCAGAGCGAGTCCTGGCTTCCTCACTTCAGGTCCCCTAATCCCTTTGGCCTAAAAATATTCCCAGCTCTTGTAGCAGAATTGGATGTGGCCACCAGCAGTAAAGGGGAGCAAATTGGAAAAGATCTAAAGCCGTCCTCTTCTCTTTCCCACCCTAATGCCCAGGAGTCAGCATGGGCAAAAGGCCAGGCTTGGCCTTTTGAAGGCCAATATTTTTTCCCCTGCATTAGCTCTTTCACCAGATCTGGTGCTAACTAATTTCTAAAATGAGCAAAGAATGAGGGTGAAGCATCTTTTTTCTTTCCTCCAATGACTCTTGATTAGGAGAGCCTTCCTTTCAGATGGTGGGTTCCGGTGTTTGCCATCTTGCTTATTGGATGGCACCTCTTTCCCGGCACAAAGCCAAAAAGACATGACCCTAGACATGGAGGAGCAGGAGGTTTAGAGGCTTTACCACAGGGCTGCAGTTGACCAAATACGCTGCTTCTGTTGCAGAAATGATTGATGGGGTTGTGTCCACCTTTGTTTCCCTTTCAGAAGTGCCTAACTGCCAGTCATCCTACATGAGAGGGGGTTATTTCTCCAGCAGCCATGAAGGTAAGGAACCTGCTTTTCCTTGCTTCTCTCCTCTCCTTTCTCCCTCTTTCTTTCTCTTCTCTCTCTCTTTCTTTTTTTATTTTTTGATACAGTTTTTTTGCTCTTGTTGCCCAGGCTGGAGTGCAATGGTACAATCTCTGCTCACTGCAACCGCCAAATCCCAGATTCAAGCAATTCTCCTGCCTCAGCCTCCCAAGTATCTGGGACTACAAGCATGCACCAACACGTCCAGCTAATTTTTTGTATTTAGTAGAGACAGAGTTTCACCATGTTGATCAGGCTGGTCTCAAAGTCCTGACCTCAGGTGATCTGCCACCACCACCCCCCGTACCCCCCCGCCAAAGTGCCGGGATTACCGGCGTGAGCCACTGCGCCCACACCTCTCTCTCTCTCTCTTTCTCGATTTCTTTCTTTTCTTTCTGTTTCCTTCCTTCTTTCCTTCTTTTTCTTTTCTTTCTTTTCTTCTTTCTTCTTTTTTTGAGTAATACTCAAGCTTAAAATTGCTCCGTTTCCAGGCTGAGATTTGAGATCATAGATTAAACCTTGCTTAGCTCATTAATATAAAGCTAGTTGATTGTAATCTTCAATTATTTTGCACGCAGGTTTTAAGCATGCCCTTAAGCCCAGTGAGGGCTGCCATTTTCATTAACAGTGATCCCAACTTTTTAGAGTATAGGACAATTTGGAGAACAAATAAATGCACCTTATTTCCCCATTTTCAGAAATGGAGGTTATATATAATAGCTTACGTGACACTATCAGCTTAAACTGGAATTTAGGAGTTTTATCAGTGAGGATGGTTTTCATATGTTTTATAGTTACGTCAGTGAGGGTCCAAGGATGTCTTAGAGTTTTAAAAATGTATCTCTAGGTTTTACTTAGTTTGAGTGCTTGGGTGGGTAACTCTACATTGTAATTATTATCATATGATAAATGGTTGCCACTTATAACATGGGAGGGAAATTTAAGGCATTCTTCACCAAACTTGAAGGGGTCTGGTGGGGAAGTGAGCTAGCAGGGAGTAGGGAGTATTAGGGATGGGAGTGGAGTGGTATATTTTGTACAAAATGCTTTGTTGAAGGACACAAAAGAAATATTTTCTAATTGGACTTTTAAAAAGTACCTCAAATGAGAACAGAAATAAAGCAGTTTACCCACAAGCCTAGATTATCACTTATCCTAACATTTATTTTTATGTGAAGATGATAGTTTTATATCAAGAGTGTATGCTGTCTCCTCGAGTTCTTGTGCCCAGTCCCTTTGGGATCAACTTAATTCAATAAGTCTCTGAGATAATCTCACTCTAATTAGCAGCAGGAGCAGTGGGCAAGGTTGAGCCTGTGACTTTGCCTTCATTAGTGCTGACCTACTAATTAGGGTGAAA